TTATTTTGTATTTTTCCTTTTTTCTTTTTTCATTTTGTAATACTTTGAAAATCTTAATAAATATCTTTTTTTAAAAAAAGAAACAAGTAAATGAAAGCTAAAGATAAGGAAATATTGGATGTGTTTTTAAGTGTTTTTGTTTTTCTTATTGTTTTGCTGTATTGTTTTCTGTTTTTCTTTTTATTTTTGATGTATTGTAACTTTTTATTGTCTTTCTTTTTTTCACTTTTTTTTGTAACTGTTAAACTTCTAATAAATATCATTTTTTTTAAAAAAAGAGAACTACAGTTCACAGGGCTCTCTAGGGAAATGGAACTGACCGTTCTAGTCTGTGATGTAAATATTCCCTCAATTCTCTATCCTGCACCATGGGAGTTAAAGAAATGAGGTGAAGGAAAATTGTGAGCCATCTCATTTTTGTGGCAGCTCCTGGGGTGCCAGAGTAATGCTCAGAAGACCATGAGCATGCATAGGAATGTCCCAAGGAAGATATCCCAGAACCTATTGTAAGTCATGGGCTTGCTCCTAGATGTATACCAGGTATACTGACAGCAACTACCATAAATTTATTTTTAAAGACTCCAACGCTGGCTGGGGCTGGTGAGAGTTGGAGTCCAACAACAGCTACTCAAGGTTCCCCACACCTGCTCTAGAAGATAAGCCTGTTAGCCCTACAAGTGAGTAAAGCTGAAAAGCAGCTGGAGTTAACAATGGACAGCTAAAACCATCCGCTTATGAACCTTTCCACAAAACAGCTGGACACACACTTTCTGATGCCAATAGTGATTATAATGATAATGATGATTAATAATTTTATTTATTTATTTATCGTCCATCTGGCTGGGATTCCCCAGCCACTCTAGGCGGCTCCCAATAGAATATTAAAAACATGATAAAACATCAGTCATTTAAAAACTTCCCTAAACAGGGCTGTCTTCAGATGTCTTCTAAAAGTCAGGTAGTTGTTTATTTCCTTGACATCTGATGGGAGGGCGTTCCACAGGGTGGGTGCCACTACTGAGAAGGCCCTCTGCCTGGTTCCCTCTAACCTCACTTCTCACAGTGAGGGAACCGCCAGAAGGCCCTCAGAGCTGGACCTCAGTGTCCGGGCAGAACAATGGAGGTGGAGACGCTCCTTCAGGTATACTGGGCTGAGGCCATTTAGGGCTTTAAAGGTCAGCACCAGCACTTTGAATGGTGCTTAAAAACGTACTGGGAGCCAATGTAGATCTTTCAGGACCTGTGTTATTCTGAATTAGTTGTAGTTTCTGGGTCACCTTCAAAGGTAGCCCCAGGTAGAGCGCATTGCAGTAGTCCAAGCGGGAGATAACTTCTGACAAGAGCCTCACAAGATCATTTTTAATAGCAAAGCCTACCTGTGCTGGTCCCGGGGGGGGGGGTGTTACCATGCGGCGAGGTCAGAGTCCGGTCCTGGGTCGAGGGTCTGGAGGCTGTCCGTCAAGGGCAAGGTGGGGTCCAAGGCAAGAAGCCGGGCGTGGTCAGGAACTCCGGAAGAGCAGGTCAGGGTGCTGGCAGGAACAGGTTTCCAGCGATGTTGCTCCCGCAACCTGGGACTGGGCTGACTGGCCTTTATCTCCTCTGAGGCCAGGGGCCGTCCCGGCCCCACAGGTGACCCGCCTCTCCTGGCCTTAAGGCGAGCTCTCCTCCTGAGAGAACCCAGTTCCCTCCGCCTCTCTGCCCTGAGCCTCTGCAGCTCAGGAGAGGCTGGAGGGTTACTGGACCCAGAGGCAACCTCACCTTCCCCTGACAAGGCTGGGAGAGGAGCACCTGCAGGCAATGGGTCCTCAATCACCTCCGGAGCCAGAGTGGATTCATGTGGTGTCTGCTCCTGAGGATCCGGCACAGGTGCAGGCCCTTCAGATTCAAGCCCCTGCCCTGGTGGCGGGGACTCCTGTGCAGGCTGGGATTCCTCAGGTTCAGCCTCTGAATCAGATTCCCAGGCCATCACACTACCACATCTAAGGGACATGGGTGGCGCTGTGGTCTAAAACCACAGAGCCTAGGGCTTGCCAATCAGAAGGTCGGCGGTTTGAATCCCCACGATGGGTTGAGCTCCCGTTGCTTGGTCCCCGCTCCTGCCAACCTAGCCGTTCGAAAGCACAAAGTGCAAGTAGATAAATAGGCACCGCTCCAGCGGGAAGGTAAACGGCATTTCCATGCGCTGCTCTGGTTTCGCCAGAAGCAACTTAGTCATGCTGGCCACATGACTCGGAAGCTGTATGCCGGCTCCTTCAGCCAGTAAAGCAAGATGAGCACCCCAGAGTCGTCCGCGATTGGACTTAACGGTCAGAGGTTCCTTTACCTTTTTACCCCATGTATTTGATGTTCTTGTTCAGGTACATCTTTCTAGAAAAATGTGTAGCCTCCTTTTTCTTCCTTCAGTAGTCCCTCACCTGATCTTCGAGTTTCTTGAAGCGCTGCAAGATCAATGTTAAAACGTCACAGCTGTCTTGCAATGATGGCAAGTTCTGCGTTCGGGATGCTTATTATCTGTGTTATCTGACAAAGTCCATATATTCCCTGTTCTAAACTTCAATTTTCTTTTACGACTACTGGGTGGTCAGGGGAAAAGGGAGGCAGACTAGGTTTAGGGCACCTAGGTTTAGGGCACCACTCACCACCACGACAATGTGAGTGATCCAATGTGATCCAGTGAGCGAGTGCTTCCCTATAACCTCGCTTCTCGCAGTGAGGGAACCAGCAGAAGGCCCTCAGAACTGGACCTCATTGTCTGGGCTGAACGATGGGGGTGGAGACACTCCTTCAGGTATACTGGGCCAAGGCCGTTTAGGGCTTTAAAGGTCAGCACCAACACTTTGAATTATGCTTGGAAATGTACTGGGAGGACTTTCAGGACCAGTGTTATATGGTCTTGGTGGCTACTCCCAGGCACCAGTCTAGCTACCACATTCTGGATTAGTTGTAGTTTTTGGGTCACCTTGAAAGGTAGCCCCACGTAGAGTGCATTGCAGTAGTCCAAGCAGGAGATAACTAGAGCATGCACCTCTCTGGCAAGACAGTCCGTGGGCAGATAGGATCTCAACCTGCGTACCAGATGGAACTGGTAGATAGCTTCCCTGGACACAGAATTGACCTGCGCTTCCATGGACAGCTGTGAGTCGAATATGACTCCCAGGCTGCACACCTGGTCCTTCAGGGGCACAGATACCCCATTCAGGACCAAGGAGTCCCCCACAGCTGCCTGCCCCCTGTCCCCCAAAACAGCACTTCTGCCTTGTCAGGAATCAACCTCAGTCCGTTAGCTGCCATCCATCTTCCAATTGCCTCCAGACACTCACACAGGACCTTCACTGCCCTCACTGGTTCTGATTTAAAAGAGAGGTAGAGCTGGGTATCATCCACACACTGATGAACACTCATCCCAAACCCCCTAATGATCACTCCCAGCGGCTTCATATAGATGTTAAAAAACATGGGGGGAGAGGACAGAACCCTAAGGCACCCCACAAGTGAGAGCCTAGGGGTCTGAACACTCATCCCCCCCCTTTCTGGACACAGCCCAGGAGGAAGGAGTGGAACCACTGTATAACAGTGCCGCCAGCTCCTCTAGACGGTCCAGAAGGATGTTATGGTTGATGGTGTCAAAGGCCATTGAGAGATCCAGCAAAACTAGGAAACAGCTTTCACTTTTGTCCCTAGCCCACCGAAGATCATCAACCAGCGCAACCAAGGCAGTTTCAGCCCCATGATGAGGCTTGAATCCCAATTAGAAGGGATCCAAATGGTCTGCATCCTCCAGGAGTACCTGGGGTTGTTCAGGAACCACCTGCTCAATCAGCTTGCCCAAGAATGGAAGATTTTAGACTGCAATCCCAACCACTTGCACTGCTAAGCCACAGTTAGAACTATGGTTCCACAAAAACAGACAAGGCATAGCTATGGCAAACATTTCCAAACTGTATGATGTTGTGGTGGTGAGAGAGACTAAAGGCATGCCTTGAGCAATCAAGTTACCATCCTGGACACGAGCCACCTTACTGGATGCATCCATCAGTCTATGTTCCTCAGACTGGGGAGGCCCCATGGAAGACTGACACCCCTTCCCACACCCACAAGGGAGGTGTTAGATCACAGGCCCAGGCTTCAGCTGAACCTTCCTCCTACCTGGAGCCCTCCAGAGGTCAACTCCCATCAGCCCCAAGCAGCACAGCCAATTGTCATGGCTGATGGAAGTTGTAGTCCAAAGCATCTCGAGGGCACCAGGTTGGGGAAAGCTGCTACACATAGCTGATCCAGTGGGAAATGTCAAAAGCCCCACCCTTGCCAGGAAAGCACAGTCCTATCCCTGAGCCAAGAGGACAGGTCTATTGGGAGTCTGTTGTTACGCACCGTGTGCAGAGTATGGCTTGTGAAGCTGGTTGGAGAGCAGACTTTACCTGTTGCCATCACACACAGACGGAGATGCTTGCAGAGTAAGAAAAATAACAAAATTGCTTATCATAGGAAGTACATAACTTGGAAATAAATGTTTCTAAACTAACTAACTAGTCTAGAAAAGACAAAGACAGTGATAATTTTTTCTCTGTGGTCCAAGAGAGAAGTGTAAGGAGGAGGATGGAGCTCTAAACAGGCTGCAACCTAAGCTGTATCAGTCCAAACTTTGAAGGATAGGGAGGTCAGCACAGAGGTCAAAGGTACAGGGATAGTCAGGAGGTCTCTTGCTGTTTTAAGCACATGCAAATCCTTTTCTGCCAGCTGAGTTGCACCCCAATTTCCAACAAAAATCCCAGAATCAAAAACCAACTGGGCTCTTAACTCGCAGTCCATTGTTCTGTCACATTATCAAAAATATATCTCACATCTTGCTTTGTATGTGAAGCACCATTTGCCTCCCAATTTCCCCTCAGGAAAGCACACAACTCCGCCCCAGATATCCACATTTTGGAAAACACCAATTTATAGCATGCAGCTCTGAACATCAGCGTGGGAGGAGTAAAAAAAAGCACACGATGGCTTACCAATCTTCTGACTAAAAATCTTGTCAAAGGTTAATTCACCTCTCTCCTCCAAATACTTCTGCATCACGCTGCGGATACTGAAAGAGAAATCACAGACACACATTACTCCTTGCAACCACACACACAACAAGGAAATGAAGAAAGAGAGGTATAAAAAGGTACCTTTAAAAGATAGATATGGTGAACAACAGGCCAAATCAACTACAAAACCCTGAAGATGTCATCCTGAAGGATTTGGGGTTTTGGTTTTCAATCAGAAATGGATAAATCAAACAGAAAATGTCTGCATGGGATTCACTTTCACATGCATGTATGTGAGTATTAGTGGTTGCTACCTTTTGGAGGCCAGTAGACATATTTGGGATTTTGAGAGAGGGCCGTGGGCACCACCCACTTTGCTTGCTCCTCTCCCAACAGATTTGTTGGTGGTTTGGAGGGGATCCCTTTTAAATAATTGTGAGGATCCCTAAGGATCTGTGCCTCAATTCTATGTTTTTGTACCACAGCAGCACTGGAAACCACCAGATCAGTGAATTCAGATCAGTTATTGTCAGGGAACTGCCATCGGAGCTAGAGGCGGAGGGAAGGCTCCAGAGTGATGCTGGAGAGGGTCCCAGCAGGGAGAGAGGCAGCCCATCTGCTGGGAAGGAAATCAGCGTAACACCAGTGGAGAAGGGGGGCAGATGGGGGAATCGGAGAGGAGGCTCCAGGACTCTTCGCCGGAGACCAGCGGAGAAAGTACGGGTACTCCGCTGCCCACACCTTCCCTGCGCAGAAGACTTCCACGCAGGGAGAGTAGGAGGAGACTTGGCGTCAAACAGCTTTTATGCTGGAAAAGGTTCAAGAAACGCCCACTGACGGATTCTGCCAGCGACTGAGACAGTCACGATGCTGGAGGCTGTTCAGTCAGAAAGGGTTAACCAGGTAACCTAGCCAGGAGTGGCGGCAACTTACGCACGAGCAATCCCTAAACCCATTACAGTTATGTCAGTGGAAAAATACATGATTGGTGATTTGATGGCAGTTGGAGAGGGAGACTGTAGGCAAAAATAATTTGCAAATTTCAAATTTCATTGCATATGGCCTTCTCTGGCCTCCCCCACATATCCTGCATTATTCTGACGCCATCTCTCCCCTAACTCCTGTTTTGCTCCACTTTCTCCCACCAGGCCATTCAGCTTTACTCCTGAAATCCCCCCCCTACTCTTTCCCCATCTCTAACCTCCATGGTCGGAGGCAGTATGCCTCTGAATATCAGTTGCTGAGAATCACAATTGTGTAGAGTGCTGTGGGGCTTGCATCCTGCCTGTGGGCTTCCCACTGGGGTATCTGGTTGGCACTGTGAGAACAGGATGCTGGACTAGATGGACACCCACTGGCCTGATCCAGCAGGGCACATCTTCTGTAAACATGACTCTGAGAAGCCCACAAACACACACAGCATTAGCAACTGCCCCTTCCTGCTGTTGTTCCGCAGCAACTGGTTTTGAGGCACACTGTCTCCAGTACCAGAGGCAGAATATAACCACCATGACTAGTAGCTGTCGGGGACTGGCAGGACCCAGGCGAGTGTGCACCAGGGGAAGGGGGCTGCTGGCTGACTCGGGAGAGGGGCCCTGTGAACCAGCCAGGAGGCAAGAGGCAGAGGCAGGAAAACCTTCAGAGTTGGAGGGTAGAGTTCAGGATGGGTTGGTAGACGAGGAGGAAGAGGCAGATCAGGCAAGTGAAGGGCCAAATGCTTCCCCACCCTCTCCCAGAACCAGGAGGAGATTGAAGAGGGAAGAACAGAGGCAGTTCTTATGCAGCTGTAGTCTCCACCTGTGTGCATGCAGCCCAACAGGGAAGGTGCATGTGACGGACAGCAGAGTGAGACCAGGATCTGGGGATGCAGTGCCTCAGAATTCCACCAGGGGGCTGGAGCCTCTCTCTGATTGGCCACCAAGCCAGAGGGGGTGGAGACAGCACTTTGGGAGGGAGAATAAAAGGGGCTGTTTCTGAGAGATGGAGATGGAGGGATTTGGTTCTGATCAGTGTGTGGAACATCTACCCTAAGGAAAATATCTACAGCTAGAGAAAAGAGCCTCTGAGCTTAGGCTGGAAGACAATGTTGTGTGCATTGGGAGAGTATTCAGAGAGGAGTGAATTGGAGGGCTGAGCACGAGCCAGGAGAAGTAGAAGCTGTCTCCTTGGGTCTCCTTCCAGTCAGGAGAGGAGACATCTTCTAGAAAGAAAAGAAGAACCTAAGTCCAGTTAAGAGGGGTGTGGGGATCCCCTGGGTCTGTTGTATTATTTGAAGCACCTCAGGGGTGTGACTGTTAAAAGGTTGGGTAACTGACAGAAAGTACCACCTGGTTTAAGAACCAAAGTATTAAGATGTAACACTATGGCGATCACACAGTGTCCCCGGACGTTTGACAGTCTATTGATTCCTGTGCCACCGTGCTCGCTTCGCCGCTGCCACCAGCCCGTTACTCTCGGGTACACACTGAGTCCAGACAGTTTTTAAAATTGAACCAAATAACCAAGTTTATTTTATAAGCATTAACAAGTTTATGGTTTCAGATAATTTTTCTTGTCAGTCTCTTAACCTTAGTTTCTTTACGGCCTATACCTTCCTAATACCTTCTGACTGATTATCCCAACTGTTTAACTGACTCCTCTTAACAGATTCTCTCACTCTCTCACATCAGACTTGCCCAACCCACCGACTTATCCTCCCTCTCTCTTCTCTAACTCCAGACTGACTTCTTAACAACTCTAACTCTAACCCCTCCCCTTGGGTTCCTATTGGTTAATCATTTTACACTTAGTTAACCCTTTCCTTGTGACCCAGTATGATGTCACACACCTAGGAGGGCAAACGCCACAAACACAGCAACTGAGTTAAGGAACTTAAGTGAAATAACTGAAAATAAGCTTAGCATTTACCATCTAGTCTAGGAAACCTGTAATATCTACCTGAAACGTAATAACTGAACATAAGCAACTGAAGTTTAAAAGAAGCTGTGCTTGATTAGAAGCCTGTCACATCCATTAGTTTTAATATAACTATTAAGTTAATCATTTTCTGAAAGAACATTGCTTCCTGATATAACCTTTGTTTTATCCACTTTGTTCTGTAAAATAAATCTTTCTTTGTTCAACTTTTGCCTGAGTTTCCAAGTTCCTAAGAATTCCTTCACACTAAATCCAAGAGATAGCCTTTGGTGGTTAGAAATATACTTATAGGAATCATACAGAAGGGGGGGATTCTTCACAGTGCATAAACTGGCGGAGGGGGTGAGCCCCCCTGTTAATGAACTTTTTTCACACAATGCATAATTTTATATACAGTACCTCTAAACCACTCGCTAAAGTAAAATGTTCCAAACACTGTAACTTTTCTTCACAGGGGAGTTGCTCCTTGCCCTTGATCATTTGGGTTGCCCTCTTCCTGCTAAGATCCCCACCTCTCACAACATGCAAGCTCATGTTTAAATGCCATCAGCAGAAACGGTTCTTTGCCTTTGCGTGAGTGACCAGATGTGAGGATTGGTTTGTCTTACAAATGAGTTGTGGTTCATTTGCTTATGCATATAATATACCCCGCCCATCCAGCTGGGTTTACCCAGCCCATCTAGGCAGCTCCAAACAGATTAAAAACAGAATAAAACATCAAACATTAAAAACTTCCCTAAACAGGGCTGCCGCCTTCAGATGTCTTCTAAAAGATAGTTGTTTATTTCCTTGACATCTTATGGGAGGGTATTCCACAGGTCAAGCACCACTACTGAGAAGGCCCTCTGCCTGGTTCCCTGTAGCCTCACTTCTCACAGTGAGGGAACCACCAGAAGGCCCTCGGAGCTGGACCTCAGTGTGTGGGCAGAACGATGCGGGTGGAAAACACAAGGGCAGACTAGGACCAGCTTGAGAAGGTTTGATCTTCTGCCTCCCCAACTCAGTAGGAAACATGAGGCAGCTAGGACTTGGCCATGTTTTGCAACTACAGGAAGTCTTTAAGGGAGAGGAGACTAAGCTATGCCTCCATGGTCTGAGGCAGAAATACCCTAAGCAGTCTCAAAACGGCTAACATTCTCCTTTCCCTTCCTCCCCCACAACAAACACGCTGTGAGGTGAGTGGGGCTAAGAGACTTCTGAGAAGTGTGACTAGCCCAAGGTCACCCAGCAGCTGCATGTGGAGGAGCGGAGACACGAACCCAGTTCACCAGATTACGAGTCCACCGCTCTTAACCACTACACCACACTGAGAACAGGATGTTGGGCGAGACGTGCCCCTTTGGGTCTGATCCAGCAGGCTCTTCTTGTGTTCTTAAGAAATGGAGAGGTGCTTCTTCCCAAAGGGAACACAAGACCTGCCATTTGTTCAAATAAATGAGGATCGCCACATTAGTCACATGTGGAGATAGTAGGAATGAATCATCCCTGCATATTTCAGTGGGGGCTGAAAGAAGATGCTGAGGAAAGGACTTTGTAAGGAGATAGGGAGGAATCAGTACAGGTCTGTAAAAATTGTACTGAAGACCATGAGAATATCTTGCACACAGAAAACCACACTAGCAAGGACCTGTTTGCATTTCTTAGGCACTGCTGGACAGAAAGCCAAATCTTAAGACATTTGCTTCTACTTGGGCAAACAACCAGGCCTGCCTGTAGCCTGGCCCTGGTCAAAGCCTGGCAGGCAGCTTGTCAAAGCAGCAGAACTGCCCTCTGTGCACAGCTGGGACTGCTTCCTAGTTCTACTGGAAGGCAGCCAGACCACCTGCTGCTGCTGCTGCCATGCTAAGATGTCTACCTGCCCAGCAGGAGAGGTGCATAAAGATCTAAGGTGTGGCATGGCGACACACTTCTCTATTCCACCAGAGATGATGCCAAGGGCTACAGGGGAGCTCTGGCTGACCCAGCACCAGTAGCCTGGTTCATCCAAGGTTGGTCCCGTTCTGGCACACTCATTTCTGTAGCTCAAACTCAAGCTAATGTTGTTTCAAGCAGCTCCCTTCACGGAAGGCATCCCAAAAGGGGGGCAGGAGGGGAGAAGCGATTTCCCACCCAAAGAACCCCAGCAGCTGGAAATGAGTGT